AGTAGCGTGCTTGCTCCTAGTAGTAAGGCCAGGAGCCCTAGTAGCGTCCTTGTTCCTAGTAGCCATGCCAGGAGCCCCTAGTAGCGTCCTTGTTCCTAGTAGTAAGGCCAGGAGTTCCTAGTAGTGCAATGCCAGGAGCCCCTAGTAGCGTCCTTGTTCCTAGTAGTAAGGCCAGGAGCCCCTAGTAGCGTCCTTGTTCGTAGTAGCGATGCCAGGAGCCCCTAGTAGCGTCCTTGCTCCTAGTAGTAAGGCCAGGAGCCCCCAGTAGCGTCCTTGTTCCTAGTAGCGATGCCAGGAGCCCCTAGTAGCGTCCTTGCTCCTAGTAGTAAGGCCAGTAGCGTCCTTGTAGCGATGCCAGGAGCCCCTAGTAGCGTCCTTGCTCCTAGTAGTAAGGCCAGGAGCCCCTAGTAGCGTCCTTGTTCCTAGTAGCGATGCCAGGAGCCCCTAGTAGCGTCCTTGCTCCTAGTAGTAGGGCCAGGAGCCCCTAGTAGCGTCCTTGTTCCTAGTAGCGATGCCAGGAGCCCCTAGTAGCGTCCTTATTCCTAGTAGTAAGGCCAGGAGCTCTAGTAGCGTCCTTGCTCCTAGTAGCGATGCCAGGAGCCCCGAGTAGCGTCCTTGCTCCTAGTAGCGATGCCCTTTGCTCCTAGTAGCGATGCCCTTTGCTCCTAGTGAGTCCTCAAACCCCAAGAGAAACTGTGTGATCTCAGCCTGTGATCAGTGTGTACCACTCCGTTGAGGGTCAAGCAGGCCAGTGGTGATTGTGCAAGAAAACGGCTCCCGCGGATTCGCTCGGCATTCTGTGGACTCCTCCGTTTTCGTAGTCTTTGCCAAACAGCAAACTCGTTCATTCCATTCACAAGCCCGCTCCTGCCAGTTTGTTGTTTCACCAGTGATGCTGGTCTCCACCTTCGATTTCAAGAAGCCCAAGACGAGTGCAAACACAAACACTACAATCTAATCGGCAAATCTGCACAAACATTTGGACCCAGACTTTCCAGCCCGTGAAGATGCACTCACCTGGAGGAAGGGCATCCTTAGTGCATGTCGCGACCTTTTTCAGTAGTTCAGCACAAAGCAATGATCAAAAATCATTGCTTAATTTGATGATCCAAAGGCCACCAAGATTCCCAGGACACATTCAAGGATGTGTAGGAGATCTCATGGCTTGGTGAGATGGAGAAGGCCGAGAGGTTCTGTGGCTGAGAAGCTGGATCCTCAAGACAAAGTCAGCTGAAAATGAACCTGCAGGAAGATGGGGAAGATGTTCGACGTATGTTGGGATCCGCACTGGCAGTCTAGTGAGAACCAGTCCATCATAGTAGACCTTACAGCACTTCATGGAGTCCAAAGCTTAGATGAAGGCTAATTCTGGTAGGCAAATTCACGTGTCCATTTCAGTTCCAAGCCCAGTTTGTAAACAGCCGTCGCACCGTGCATGCCTCACCTTGACAATGGACTTGGAGCTCCAGCAAGGTTGCAAAGTCAGGATAATGACAACAATTTGAGCTGTACAACTCTGAGACTCACACGCACTCGCCACTCAAAATGGACCCCACTATTGATGCCAACGTGAACCTCTCTTGTTGCAACATTGCTTGTTGCTAGGAACTGTCTGATTGATACGCATCTTATCGTAAGGATCAAACTGTGCAATTTGTGGTGCTCCTTTCCAGCACTCGACACCCAAATACTGGTGGGTCGTCACCTCAAACGAGACTCTGCTTGAATTAACTCTTTTTACCTGTGCTGAATTGAAGTTGCATATGGTTGTGCAGGCTTCTTGTCTTTGCTACACTCTCCGCTCGTCCTTAAGCTTGTCTCCAGGTGTTTCCGGCAAGCGAACTGCCGAGGGTCACAAAGTCTTAAAGTCTCAGGAGGACACCGTCTGGCCAGTCAGTTCCATTGACCTGTCAAAGCCACGACACTCCCGTGTTCAACACTCGGAGACTGCCGGACAATTGCCAAACGCTCTGCAGCCTTCGCTTGAACATCCCAGTATTGGAAGATGCAGGCCTCGATGAAGCCAAGGAAGTTTCTAGCTTTATACATACCACAATCGGGTTAGCCCCAAAAAGTTGGAGTCCATCCTGCCTGAAAGGGAAACGAAAAATCAAGTACGGTATATATGTTCACATGTATACAGGCCTTCGGATCGTTTGGTTCCCAGCTTGCCTGGCAAGTTTCGGTCAGCGACTTCTTTGCACCAGGGTTTGTGCTAGCTCATCACTGTTCGTTCAGCTGTTGAAACAAAGGACTTTGCACGGCATTCAAAAAAGCTCCCTGGCCTCGAAGGTATACAAATCTTCATTGTAGGCAGTGAGATTCAATGGTTCAAAGGCAGGCATGGTAAGTGTAGTGCATTCTTGATACCTCCAAGCAGTAACAACAGTCCGGGTGGCAGCAGCACGACTTTTGTCAAAGAAAAAAATATATATATATATACATACAACAGGGCCTCTCAAAGAAAGGGCTGTTGGCCAGCGGATCAGTGCAAGTCTCTCTAACCTCAAGTTCGTTCAGAAAGCAAACCAAATCATCCTGTTTGCAGGCATTACTCCAACACAAACAAACGCATGCAATCAAGAGTGTATGAGTTCTCCTCGTTTCAATTTCAACTTTAAGTATGTCTTGTGTGGGTACCCAAGAAGGGAGAACACATGTTCCAAACCATTGGGAAGTATGCGAAGGGAATGGTGCAACGGCTTTCAAATTGATAGGCTTGAGCAGTGCACAAGCAACTTAAAGGTTCACAAGAGGCCAAGATACGAAAACCATCTGGCTGGTGCTATCTACACAGCGGGAGGCAAATAGAAAACCCAAACGAATAGACTGTAGAACCCTGTCGCGGCAGGACGATCCTACTCCATGGGAAGGTATAAAGAAACTACAGTAAGAGGTTGCTCAAAAGCACAGAAGCAAGGTGACATTCAGGCCTATCGGACAATGTATAACAAAATATGATATGACAAAGGTGGTGGACTTAGACTTGTGCAAGCTTAACTACTGTCCTTTTTCTGTTTTGAACTAGACCTTTTTGTTTTTGTTGTTTGTTCTTTATACCTGCTTTCCTCTTGTCATTGAATTTTTGTATTTCTCCTTTTCCAGTGATTTTGTTTAGACATTTTTCCTTTTTGGTAATGTCTTTCTTTAGCCCTGTCTTCCTTGTTTTTTTCAAGACCTTTGTTTCTGTTTTGTGTTCTTCGCTTTATGTATTTTTAGTATACGTCTTCGTTCTTTAGCGTGTCTTCCTTCATGTTTGTTCTGTGTTTCTCCGTCTCTGTCTTCTTTAGACGTGGTTTTCTTTATAACATTCCTTTTCTATATATAGTTGTTTCTTCGTTTGTTGTTTTTTGACGTTCTTTGTTGGAACCTGTCTTCCTTTCTTTGTTTCGGTGGACCTTATTTCTTTTTTCAGTGGTTTCACTGTTTTCTTGGAAACCGTTCTTCTTTTCTGCGGGTTCCTTCTTCTGTGTGCTTTGCCATTTTTTTTACTTATTAGGACCTTTCTTCCTTTCGGGTTCGTTCCTTGTTCTTTTCCTCATTTTTCTTTGGGCATTTCTGCCCTTCTATTGTTTCCTTTGCCTTTGTTCTTTTTGAAACCTTTCTCCCTTGTTTTCTTCTCTTCTTGTTCTGTTCTTTTACCGGGCTATTTTTGTTCCTCAGCCGCCTCGTCCTCCTCCTCCTCCTCCTCCCACCATTCCCGCCAACAAGCCGCTCACACCAACTTATTCCTACCAACCTACACACAACAACACACCATCTCACTCACGCCAACTTGCTTGCACCAACTCACTCACACCGTACTCGCACACGAACTTGCTCACATCAAGTCACTCACACCAGCTTGATCACACCACTCCCGCGCTGCTTTCTGCAGCTCTCTGGGGCCTCTGCTGTTGCTGCGGGTCCGTGCCGGTTCTCCTTGCTCACCGCCTGCTCTAGGCCCCTCCGCACGTTTTCAATGGGGTCTGCTGCAGCTGCTGCTGCCGCTGCTGCTGCTGCAGCTGCGGCCTGCCAACTCAACCCACACCAACCCAACTCAAACCAACACAACTCACACAGACTCCACTAACCCAACTCAACTCATACCAGCTCAGCTCACCCAACTCGACTCAAACCAACTCAGCTCACCAGTTGGACTCATGCCAACTCAAGTCACCGAACTCAACTCACACAGGGCCAAGAAGTTGATAGCGCTTTGTGAGATTGATGCTGCTCGTGCACATAAAACTGCTGCATCACAAGACACGGCAACCAACTCGGAATTTTGATGTGAAAATTTTGGGTTGATAGCTTTGTCGGAACCGCGTGATTGAAATATATGCGTCAATCCTTGCACACATACCTTTATTTGCCATTAACATAATTATTATCATCATCATCATCCTCGTCTACCTGCTTGAAAGCGCTCCAACATCACACTCTGAAGAAAGCTCGCAAGAGCATCAGTCAGTGGTCTTCCGGAGTGCGTTAGACCGTTACACTACTGCAGTAACTTTGGCTGAAGAACGGTCAGGTGAAGAGTCCGTCGGTAACAAACACTGTTTAACCGGGTGAGACAGGAAACTGAAGAAGTAAGAGCTGAAACGCGGCACAGCGTGGAAAAACAGGTTGTTCACTCTTTTTTGCAGGTACACATCAAGGCGTTCCTTGACGCTGCCCCTCTCACATCTCAGCTTTGTTGGAGCAGGTTAGATGTGACAGGCCTGGTCCCCCTGCGGTGCTAATTGTAAAAAAGAAGTGGTTTCACGAACGGCGCGCGATGAGGAGACCGTGCGAAATAGCAGTCCCTCAGAAACAGGGGCTGTCAGACGTCACACACAAGAAGCCGTAATCCGCTGTCACACGCCAGTATGGTGTGGTGGTATGGGCGTGGGCGCAAAAGCTAGAGGTCTTGGCCGTCTTGGGCTCAAGTCCTCCTATGTGCACTTTTCCTACTTGCAAGTGTGCTCAGGTCTCTCTCTCGCCCTCCTTCTCTCTCTCTCTCTCTCTCTCTTTCTCCTTCTCCTTCTCCTTCTCCTTCACCTTTTTTTCTTCTTTTTCTTCTTCTTCTTCTTCTTCTTCTTCTTGTTGTTTTTTCTTCTTCTTGTTTTTTTCTTTTTCTTCTTCTCTTTTTATTCGTCTTCTTCTTCTTCTTATTCTTATTCTTCTTATTCTTCTTATTCTTCTTTCTTGCTTTTTTGTGGAAACGTTCTTTTTATCTTTGCCCACCAGATTTCCAAAAACATTGGCTAGCCAAAAGCTTTAGGTGTCCCTACGCAAGCCCTACCAAACAAACACAAAAAAACGAGTAGCCCTTTGGACTCCCACCCCCTGCAAGTAAAACCACCAACCTGCAATAATCAACCCCCCCCCAGCCCTGCTGGCTTATCCTTGCCTTGCGCTTTCCCTTTTACTTGTTGTTAAATTGTCCTATCTTTGTCCTGCTCCTGTGTCTTTTCTTGTTCTTTTGTGGGATCTTTCTTTTTATCTTTGCCCACAAGATTTCCAAAAACTTTGGCTGGCCAAAAGCTTTAGGCTTCCCTACGCAAACCCTATCAAACAAATACAAAAAATTATCTTAAAAGGGTCCAAGGGTACCCCTGTAGACTCCCACCCCCTGCACAAACCTACAATCATCCAGCCCTGCTGCAGATCACTCAGAAAGCTCTAGAAAATAACTAACTAATTAGAATGAAAGCAAATGGAAGCAGAATGAAAACAAACGAAGGCAAAGGAAGATTCTCTGCCAAATCCCCTCTGCCAAAGGGCCCGGAAATTTTTTATTGAGATTAAGACGTTTGACCTCCCCCCCCAAAAAAACCATATTTTTTTCCTCACGGCCGGGGGAGCGAGACCAACCCTTGCTCGGCAAGGCCATGGAGGGCACTTCGGGCTCGCTCCGGGCTGGCACAAGGCACTTGGGATATTGAACTTACGAACTGAATACCGCATGTCAAATGCCGACCTATAGGAATGAAACCTAAGGAAGCAGGAGGAAAGCATATCTCATATTCAAAACCAAAGCTATCGAAAGGAGTTGTATATCGTTGCGCTCAACTGCGAAATTTCTGAAAGGAGTTGTATTTAGTTGCACTCAACTGCAAAAATCCTGACAGGAGTTGCGTGTAGTTGCATTGAAAAGCAAAGTTCAACTGCAAAATTCTTGAAGGGAGGTTCAAATACTTGCATTCAAGAGCAAAAAACAAACCTGAAAGGAGTTGCATATCGGTGCATTCAACTGCAAAAAACTGAAAGGCGTGATTGCATGAAAGCAGGTATGGAAGTTCGCGTCCAAACTTCCATCCAGTTGATTTCTATAGCTTCGTTTGTGTGACTAGGAAATCAACCGTCACGCCCTTTGCTGATTAACACACATCCTTACGCATCACGCCATCCAATCCGCCTCGCTTCATCCGCTTTCAGTCCTTTACCATCCGCGTTTTCTTTCAGCTTTTTGATGCAAGGGAAAGCTTGACATGTGGGTCTAGTCTTCAGGTAGTTTACCGTTCTTCCTTTCTGGTTCTTCCTTTCTTTTTTCTTTCTCGTGTAACAAACTATGATATGCCTGAGGTGGTGGACTTAGAGTTGTGTAAGCTTAAGTACGAACAGTGCAGAGCAGCCAATCATAGGATTTTTTTCTGACTTGATCATACTCAGACTTCATGTTGTGGACACTTGACCTCCACTCAAAAGACTAAGCTCTTGACTCTAATCTTGTATTCTCTGTTGGCCAGCAGACCCTGCACCCAGCATTCCTCAAATCAGCATCTGAAAGCCGACACAAGAGACAAGTGATGCCTTGTTCCGCGCCGTGTGCCAGATTGGCTGCAGTACCACAAGTTCCGTGAAGAGAGTGCACACTCACACTAATGACACTAATCTTCTGTTCCGGTTCGACTTGCGCAGGCGCAAGGTCGCAAGGCTCTAAGTTGTGCACCAGCACATTCCGATCGTACCTGGAAGGGCAGGGATCTTGTCGGTCTTGTGATGCCTAGTAGTAAGGCCAGGAGCCCCTAGTAGCGTCCTTGCTCCTAGTAGTAAGGCCTAGCGTCCTTGCTCCTAGCAGTAAGGCCAGGAGCCCCTAGTAGCGTCCTTGCTCCTAGTAGTAAGGCCAGGAGCCCCTAATAGCGTCCTTGAAGCCCCTTGGTCCAGAAATGGTGCAGAGCACCGCCCTCCGTCAGCGGAGTTCGATCGTCCTTCCATGGCACCGCCATGGCTATGGGCGACGCTGCTGACCTGGACCACCTGGTCCCAAGTCCAGGAACATCCCGATGCTTCGCTTTGATGCTCAAGAGTGGCTCGATCACCAAGATTCAAGCTTCTTTTTTGATCTTTGGGATGTTGGGGGTGAGGGTAGAGCAACTGCCATGAGTTGCTCTGGAAGGGAAAGTTTGAACTTTTCTTCATGTGTTACCCCTGAAGCTCATGGACTAGGGCCCGTAGAGTCCCA